TTTCAGAGGCCCGCCGCGGCTGGATGGACAAGGAAATAATTGGCAACCGAGAGTCAATGCCCAACAACAGCAGCATTATCCCATCGCTGAAGCAACGCCACAGCCATTGCAACAACTTCCCCCGACGGATCCAACAAAGCTAATCACTCACCAGGTGGGAGCTATTTACGGAGCTCCCCTCGAAGTCTTATCCACGACAGCCATGAAAAACTCATTGTGAACTGTCACCAAAACCCCTCGACAAGAACCTAGCCACAAGAGATTCAAAGGAACAGAGGCCATTGTATTCACAGATAGCGATGTGGTCCCAGACATTTGTCCCCACAGTGACGCTATGTTCATAGAAGCAATAATCGCAAACGTAAAAGTCGGGAGCGTTTACGTGGACAACTGCAGCGCGGTCGATATCATATATAGTGATTGCTTCAAGAAAATGAATATCAAAAACCCTTGCATCCGCCCAGCTACAATGCCACTAATGGGATTCTCAGGACACACCATTATCACCATAGGAATAATTAGCCTACCCATCTCGGTAGGGTCGCAACCTAGGACAGTCACTTTGACCATGGATTTCGCCCTAATAGATACACCCTCGCCATTCAATGTGATCCTAGGGCGACCTTGGATGTGCCAAGCACGCGCAGTATGGTCTCCCTATCACTTGGTAATAAAATTCTCAACGGAATATGGAGTAGGAGTAGTGAAAGGATGCTAGCGCAGTTCTCAAAAATGCTTGCTCACTGCAGTTAGAATCGGAAAGAAGACCGCATACCTTAACTCAGGGTCCGCCGTGTCAGAGTGCTACTCGATTCGGCAAACGGTCAACCCACCAGGGGTAGAAGACCCCGAGACACCCGACCTTCTATCGTTCAGTAGCAAGACGCGAGAATTAGTCCTGAATGAGTCTGATCCCGCTAAGACCATCCAAATTGGGGTTTCTCTCCAAGACCCCTGGCTAGCCAAAATCAGTGCCTTGCTACGAGAGTTCCAGGACATATTTGCCTGGTCCCCAGCGGATATGACAGGAGTCCCTCGAGAAGTCATAGAACATAGGTTAAATGTTGATCCAAATGTCAAACTAGTACAACAGAAGAAAAGAGTATTTGCTCGAGAACGTAACGATGTCATCAACGAGGAAACGATGAAGCTAGTCCGAGCTAACATACTCCGGAAAGTTTTATGGCCTACTTGGTTAGCCAATCCGGTCTTAGTACAAAAACCCGACAACTCCTGGAGTATGTGCCAAGACTACACAGACCTCAATAAACATTGCCCCAAGGACTGCAACCCTCTACCAGTCATAGATCAAATGGTGGAGGGTATTGCCGGGTACAGAGTCCTCAGCTTCCTTGATGCCTGCAAGGGATATCATCAAATCCTCATGGCACAGGAAGATGCAGAAAAGACAGCTTACATCACCGAGATAGGGGTATATTGCTACGACAAGATGCCCTTTGGACTGAATAATGTTGGAGTCACATACCACCGTCTCATGAACAGAACCTTCCATGACCAGATTGGCCGGAACATCGAGATTTACATAGACGACAATGTGATAAAGACCAATAAGGATGAGCAAGTGGCTGCAGACATGCGGGAGATTTTCACAATATTACGCAAGGTTAACATGAAGCTGAACCCTAAAAAATGCACCTTCTGTGTAGGATTAGGGAAATTCCTAGGATACCAAGTCTCCAAGGCTGGAATAAGTGTTGATCCGGCTAAAATCGAGGCTATCTTAGCCATGGAAGCTCCAAAAACCGTCAAGGAAGTTCAGAAACTCACACGCTCCCTGGCAGCCCTAAACAGGTTTCTATCTCGAGCCGCAGATAGAAGCCTCCCATTTTTCCATACCCTCCGCAAAGGCAGAAAATTCGTGTGGAATGAAGAATGCCAGAAAGCCTTCCAAGACCTAAAAGAGCACCTCAAGCAGTTGCCCACACTAGCAAATCCCGAGCCAGGAGAATCACTGTACATTTACCTGGCAGCCCGAGAGAAAGCTGTCTCGGCGGTCCTCGTGCAGCGCAAAGACGGCAGAGAAGTCCCCGTCTATTTTGTTAACAAAGTCTTGCAAGGGGTAGAAACCCGTTACACACCCATGGAAAGGCTTATCCTCAGCCTAGTCTTGGTCGCACGACGTCTGCGCCCATACTTCCAAGCACACCCCATCATGGTTTTAACGGAATAACCAATTCAGCAAGTCCTGCTAAAGCCAAAAGCGTCCGGTAGGATGATGAAATGGGCAGTCGAATTGGGCGAGCACCATATCGAATACAAGCCTTGATCAGCCATCAAAGGGCAAGCCTTTACAGATTTCTTAGTAGAAACGCCTCGAGCTATAGAAGTCAAAGAAATGGCGGAGCCTAAAAATGATCGCACTACTCGCATCCACATCAACCCTCGAGCCTGGTCACTATACGTCGACGGATCTCGTTGCGATGAAGGGGGAGGAGCCGGCATCATATTATCCAAACCTCCGGCCGATCCTGACATCGAGAACATGGAAGAGTACGACGCAGAATATACATATGCGCTGAGGTTTGGTTTCTCAGTCACCAACAATGTAGCTGAATACGAGGCACTGATAGTAGGGTTGAATATGGTACTAAAAGTTGGGGTCCGCAAAATACAAGATTTCAATGATTCTCAAGTAATGGTGAAAGAAATATTGGGAGAATACACGGCAAACGACGAGCAACTCAAGCGCTACCTCGAGAAAGTCCTCGACATCAAGGACAAATTCGAGTAATGCACCATGTGCCACATAGCCTGCTCAAAAAACAAAAGAGCCGACGCCCTCAGCAAGCTGGCCTCCTCGAACTTTGCACACCTTAGCCACAAAGAATGGGTCGAAATTCTCCCCAATCCCAGTATCCAGGACGTCCCTGTAGCGACCATCGTCAAGGACGGCGACACTTGGATGACCCCTTTTATCCAATACCTTACAGATGGGACGTTGCCGAGTGGAAAAGCAAAATCCAGGATCCTCCGGTTAAAGGCGGTCAAATACACATTGCGAGACGGCATCCTATACAAGCATGGATACCTGCTACCCATGCTAAGGTGTATTGGCCCAAAGCAAGCAGCTTACGTACTCGAAGAAGTACACGAAGGATCATGTGGAGCTCATATGGGAGCAAGAGCACTCGCCAAGAAGGTCTTGCGAGCAGGATATTTCTGGCAGACAATCTTCAAAGAACCAATGGGTACAAAAATGTGAGAAGTGTCAGCGCTTCTCTCCCATCACCCGACACCCACAGCACGAGATGGTCACCATCCAAAGCCGGTGGCGGTTCTACCAATGGGGCACTGATATCATCGGCCCCTTTCATCCGGAAGGAGTAGGAGGAGTAATCTGGGTCATTACAGCAGTAGATTACTTCACTAAATGGGTAGAAGCCAAACCCTTGGCCTCGATCACTGGGAGAAAAATGTTAGATTTTTTCTGGCAGAACATAGTATCACACTTTGGGGTCCCGAAAGTTATCGTCTCCGATAATGGGACCAAGTTTGAGAGCAATACTTTCAAGTCATAGTGCGATGAAATACGGATCGAACGCCGCTTCTCGAGCGTAGCCCATCCCTAAGCCAACGGGCAGGCCGAATCCATCAACAGAACAATACTGCATGGAATCAAGACCAGGTTGTATGACGCCAAGGGGGCATGGGCTGACGAACTTCCTCACGTCCTGTGGTCATACCGGACAACTGCCCACTCCTCGACCGACGAGACACCGTACAGCTTAGTCTACGGTATGGACGCCGTCCTCCCAGTCGAGATCGGTCTGTCGAGTCCTCGAACCGCAAACTTCATCGAGACTACCAATGATGATAACATCCGGCTAAACCTTAACCTGCTCGAGGAATGTCGAGACGCCGTCAGAATCCAAGAGGCCAAATATAAAGAGACTCTTCGCAAACATTACAACAAGAAGGTGAAAGCCACGGATCTCGCTGTGGGTGACCTCGTGCTAAGAAAAAACGAGGCCAGCCGAGCAGAAGCCCCTGGAAAACTTACTGCAAATTGGGAAGTACCTTACAAGGTTATCCAGACTTCCCCAGCAGGCTGCTACCGCCTACAATCCATGCATGATAGCGGAACCATCCTTCCTCGATGGTGGAACATTCAGAATCTTCGCAGGTTCTATGTTTAAGCCTTTGTCTGCTATTTGCCCTTTATCGGTTTTACTTACTTTATTTACCTAGTCAGTTTTATACTCTCATATGTAATGCTAACCCGGGTCCTCCGGAAATTATTCAATAAAAGACATTACATATTCTCCCCGTTTATAGCAATGCATTCATGACTAGTCATCGAGATGGACTCCCTCTTTAGGGCCATCCTCGTTCAAGAGCCGTGTACTCAACATCTGGACACGAACTTGAGGAACTTTCCTCACGCACATTGCGAAACGCAGTGTCAATCGTACCCAGTTCCTATGATAGAGCCGTGTACTCTACATCCGGCCTAAAAAGCGCTTTAAAAATCAATACTCGAGTAAAATAAACATTTGTTCCACATTACTATGCGAACTCACAGAAAAGTACATATTTTCTACACTATTACAAGCACCTCGCTGACAGGATTGTCGGGGGAGGGATGAATAATCCTCTTATACCCGTGCAGGCTAAGGAGATTCACACACTGATTCAATTTGTCCTTAAGGTCCACGATCTCTGTGTCCTAAGCGTGCACCCTCATGAACAGTTCTCTCGAGAACTCCGAGTTCGAGGATCCACTGTCTCCTCCGGACGCTCGAAAGCCTCAAAGTCGATGTTGTTATCCAGCAGAAAATTTTGCAGTTGAGCAACATAATCTGTAAGAATCTCGATTTCACGAGACCTCTCTTTCAATATATCCATGGCTGCAATGAAACGATGAGTCCTGACCATAATCATGTGCTGGACTCGGGCTAACATCTTATGCTTCTCGAGAAACCAGGAAGACATAGTAATCTGCTGTCTCGCCCTAAGTCGAGCATTTTCCTTCTCCATGATCACCGCTCCTCATGGATCTCGGCCTCGAAAGTCAAAGAATCACTGTGGTCTCTCAGGCATTGAACCTCTCGACGCTGCATCTCCTCGCAGAGTCCTTTGATCTCATTTATCAGATGCTGGTTAGCCTTCACGTTGTGTGTCCTCATGGCATCGAGCAGGTCATTCTCCAAATGCACCACCGTGTCGAGGCTGTGCACGTCAACACGACTTCTCAAAATCCCGCTTATCATGGAATATAACGGGAACTCCCTCGATTGCTCCTCTGACAACACCATGTGGTGCACGAGGTGAATGGTCCAACTTCCCTGTTTCACCAGGGAGCATAAGGCACTCACATCATAGAAAGAACGCAGAGGACAAAGAAGTGGAATGGAAAGAGATGTTTGCATAAATCTGTGAAAAAAGAAAATTAGTTCATTACAGCAAAAAGAAAAAGTTTGAATGGCCTAATAACTATTACAGAAGGCAGGATTCATACAGCGTCACTGCCTGGGAGGGGATCAGCGGAAGGATCATTGGAAGGGTCCTTGGAATGGGCCTGAGAGGCATCCTCAACAGTTCTCTGAACCCCGGAGTGGCTGGTGTCAGCAACATCCTCCTCGGTTTCCTCATCAACATCCTCGAGCTCATACCCATATACTCGTCAGGTACATCGGGTATGGGGTCTTCCTCACTCGGACCCTTGGCCAGGATAGCAGGAACGTCGCCCGGAAACCAGGCAATCTCCGCAGGGGAACTCATCTTGGACATGGCACCGGTCAAAGCTCCCCACAGAGGAAGCTGCTCGAGGCTCAACCTTGTCAAGACCTTCACCATGGCCTCGTGCATGGTTTTCTTTGGGTCCTTCATCAAGAGTTGCTTGAACCATTTGGCCTTAATTGGCCTATCCTGGTCGAGCCTCCTTAACCCTGCCACGCCCACTCGGTGCAACTGCACTTGGTGGCCACCAATTTCACCTCCTCGAGGGCTGCAGCCATTCCGCATGTGGACATCATCTTATACATAAAGGCGGTACACCACTGGTGAAGCTCCTCCTTGGAAATATGCAGGCTGGCAAACGACTTCATCTTCTCGTCAAGCTCATCATATTTGGCCTGCATCTCGGCAATCTCTGCTTCCTTGGCTTGAACTTGGCGAACCTTCTCCTCGAGCGTAACCACCTCGAACAACGCCTCGTCCCGTTCTGCCCTTGCTGCAGCCAGATCTTCTCAAAGTTTCCTCAGCTGCACTAAGTAGGCCATCGAGGCTGCGCTCATCTGAACCAACATAACATATTAGAGATACATGGACCTCAACAACACATTTACAACATAATCTGAAAAATTGCTTGCCAGCCACAAGCTATCAGCTTCATTCAGTTGGACGGCGAATTCCTCGAGAATAGGACACTCGATTGACGGTGGGCTGTTGAAGGTGTGAACTGCCACAGATGGGCCTCCCTCGAACAGTTGGGGAGGCAAGACTATGACCTCCCCCTCGAGAGGTCCATTTCCTTTCTCTACCCCAGGCGGAACTCTGCTTGGCCCTGTCTCTGGTGCGGTTTTCTGCATGGACTCGGTAGCAACGGGCACCGTCTCGACGCTTAGTGGAGCAGTTTCCTTCAGGGGCACATCCGTCTTGGCCTTCTTCGATTTTGCCCTATCACCCACTTTCACAATCCTTTTCTTCTTCTTCTTCTGAGGGGCGGAAGTAACAGTAACATCCTCGTCTAAATTTACAATGACAAAAGGATCTTCATCACCAAACAATTGAGACCCAGCATTGCTTGACGACATGACCTAATAACAAAGAAAAAAAAGAAGAAAACGATTAGTACCTTGATCTTCTTCATCAGAGATTTCGAGGAGAATTCTGGTTGCACCCTCGACAATGACTGTATCACCTTCCTTCGCGTATGCAGGGGGCGCATAGTATTGGACGTCGTTCCACTTAACGACTTTTGAGTATTTTAAAATCTTCTCTACATCTTGCCTGGAACTCCTCGACACACTCCTCGTCCTCTTGGGTCCATTCATCTTTTATGGCCCCGAGGCCCTCTGTCTCATGGAGATTCCATGGCCGACAATAACTTGCAGGTGCCTTTACAAACACAAAGTCCGGTTTCCATTCTGGAGAACCGTCATACGCCTCGACCATCATCTTCACGCCGGCTCTAAGGCGTCTCTTTACTATCAATCGAGGTACCTCCACAATATCAATCGAGGTACTACTTTTACATATTGACACACTCTCGCAAACCCCAGCACAAATGTAATTAAATTTGGGGTAAAACGAGCGAGAGTAGTCCTATAATGTTGAACAATCTCCTCAAACAAGGGGTAAATGGGAAATCTAAGCCCTAGATGCATAAATCGATCATACACAGTAATTCTTCCCCTTGGAGAGAGTTGGCCCTCTCGTTCCCTAACGGAGCTCTAGCCTCTAAGTCGGAGGGAAAGTCATACTTGGATCTAAGGTTTTCTACCTTATCCACCGAGTCTATGGTAGAAACAAAGTCTAGAACAGTTTTTCCTTCAGAATCCCTAACCATAATTCCGGCAAAGATCTACTCTGGCTACAACAGGAAAGGAAACGGAACAAGTCGGAGATTCAGATCCAGAAACTTACTATGTAACGGGGACGTCACCACTCGCCCTTTGAATTATAGCTCCCCAGTGTTGTCTAGAAGCTTCAAATTGCAACTCCCCTGGAAACGCCGTCACCGGGGCAGATAAAATCTTTGAAATTCCGGCCGGAATTTTCAAGGGTGCTTTGGAAAAGCAGAACGGAATGGAGGCTGGAGTACTTTTTGCAAAGGAGAGGATTTTGTGTTTTTTTTGCAGAGAAAGAAAGTGATTAAGTGTCCAGGGACTGTGGAAGTTTTCTCTTTTAAAAGCGAAGTTGATTCTCCCACATTTCCCTAATTATGGAACACGATTTGATAGTTATTGCGGGTTTCAAGGAAGTAATGATGTTGAGGCCGCCATTTGGGGAACGTGCCCACTAATAACGCACAATTGAAAATTTGAGCGGGATTGGGAAGCGGGTCGTCTTCCCAGGTCGCGACTTGACCCGCCGGTTCCACTCGCACTTCCGAGATCGAGGGTCGTGTGTTAGCACCGAGCTCGTTAGGCATGTGCCTCGGCAATTAGCTGAACGAGGGCGGTCTATCCACTCTCGGGCATGTCTCAGGTAATGTTTATTTTGTGCCAAGCGTTGTTTTGTTCTACGTCACTAACACTTGGCAGGGGCACTTGACGAGTCCAGATGCATTACCGAGATTGTACCGGCCCACCCACCGTAGGAAGAGTCCAACTGGAACTCTTAGGGTGGTGTAAATCCCTAAAACCTAGTGAGATTCGGAATTGTCCAGGTAATCTCATACCTATAAATAGGGTAGCTCATACCACAATTCAGGTACGCAATCTATAAGCCAAACATACTACCTCCTTAAACTTTCTAGCAGTCCCGTTTACTGACTTAAGCATCGGAGTGTCTACCCTCAGGAGACCCCGAGGCTCTGTTTTGCAAGAAACCCTAACCGGAGTTCCACCATTAAACCGGCGGCGCATATCCGTGCATCATCAGTCGACGTGTTATAGTTCGGTACATTTAATCAACAAAAATGCTACACCATCAATTTCATTCTTCAAAACTTGTGGGTGCAAGTATTCCACTCGAGATTTAAGGTTTCATTCATTAATTACTTGCCACCTTTATTGTGATTTTTATTTAAAATGTGAGTTCAATCGAGCGAATTATTACCTGATTTTTTTGATGATTCGTTACATATTACGTTCCCGATCAGGAATTAAAACTGAGTGTGATGAAGTTTGGTTATTAACTCTATCATCAAAATATGAAGAGACGTGATTTTCCAATCACAGATAGTAACTTTCCAAGCTGGGATAGTAATTGATTTCATAAGAGAAGTAACTTTCCCCATCAATTTTTAGTGTCTCACCAAAATTATCTACACCACAAATGAACTCCCGCCAAATTTATTCATGGAATCTTTGACTTAGTTTGAATCAGTCAAATGATTTGATTAATTTGATGCTCATGAACTTTAATGATTTTGATTTGCTAATTGGGATTGATAGTTTTAGAGCCACATACCATGTAGGGTAGTGGCAAGTTATATCATGGGTAATAGTTGATAATGGTTAAATTGTTAGATAAAAGTATCACACTTAACTTTGTATTTGAAGAACAATTGTGGGTATTTCCTAACATTGGTGCAATTTACTTAGCTCATTTTTATATTATTGTAAGGAAAGGACCGGACTGAATAATTGCTGAAAATTGGGAGCCAAAGGAGCAAATTACAGACTGCTGAGGCAAGGGTGCTGAGCTGGACGAAGAAGAAGGGCCTTAGACAAGAAGCATCTTGTCATTAATGACCTTGCCTCCTCCTAGAGGCATGCTTGTCCCCCAGCCGCAATCCCAGCCACCACTGCTGATCAATGAGAGCAAAACGGCTGCTGCTGGAAGAGAAAAAAGGAACAGCCAAGTTGGATTGCAGGCTCAAGACATTAGAAGGATTAAACAACTCCAAGCATGGGGAGGTTCTCATGATGAAGACACCGATTACAAATTACTATAAAGAAGGGGAACGGCACTCTCACAGGGATATCTCTCCATCAGTCTCTGGTTAGCTTCTCAGTTGCAAAAACCTTCAGAAAAACTCCAGGTAGAAGACAAGAAAAAAGAAGAAGAAATAACAACTCAGTGAGGAAGTCAAGTTGAAGAGTAGCAACCCAGTTTCTTCTTCAGTTCCACGAGTGAACCCCTTCACTCCCAGGAGTGACTCAGAAACTGCACAAGCTTTCTCCTCATCTCTTGACTGTTAGCTTGAATTTTATTTACTATGCATACTTCTATGATGTCTTTTGATGTAGTAGATGTAGCATTAATCTGTATGAGTAGCTAAACAGTTCCCAGGGGTTATTCTCCTCAACTGATGTTGTAGTTGTCAAGCACTGGTTTTGTTCCTTGTTTTATGGTTGAAAGTTTTTCTACATTCATTTATTTGATCACTAAATTGAATGCATGCTAGAACTAAGGGAGATCTGGAAGGATAAACTTGGTTTGAATTGTTTCAACTTTAACTTATGACATAGAGGTAACAGTCTATGGTTTTAACTAAGATAGGAAGATACTTAGTTAACATAAGCATTCTTGAAGGCCTAAGAACTTAATGACTTTGTAGCTGGAATCAATCATTGGAAAATAGGTTGTTAAGGTTGCAAAGATGACTCTAGGAAAAATGGGAACTGACTTAAAGTTATAAATGAGCTGAATGAACGAGAACTCAACCATTACAGTGCAAATAAAACAACCACAACAGCAGGAAGAGGAGAAGAACACCCCTGGCCTCCATTCCCCTGAGTGACTGTTTTCATTCTCCTGAGTGACACCTTGTTGACTGACAGTTTTTCTTTACAACAAATTTGGTAATTAGCTATCCTCGTGGGATCGACCTAGCTTCCATTATCTACAAAACTCTTAATCCAAGCTAGTAATATTTATCTTATTTTTTTTGGTGAACTCGGCAAGCACCAGAAAGTGGCGCCGTTGCCGGGGACGGCGTAAAACCTCCAAAATTTTGTTGTTTTTGTTTGTGTGTATATATATAAAATTCTTCTCTGGTTACCTGACTAAGCTTCCAGTTTCTTCTCTTTGGTGTATGACTAGAAGGCACCAACGAAGTGAACCCGTTTTTGACCCAGAGATTGAAGCTACCATCCGTAGAACCAGAGCGGCAAGAAGAAGGCAGAACCGGGCGCAACAGGACAACCAAGAAGGTTCATCTGAAATGGCTAATAAAGGTGGCAATCCGGAGAACAATAGGAACCCCGGTGGGGATCAACAAAACCGACCAGAAAGACTGCTTAGAGATTTCTTCATCCCACAGCAAGAAGAAGTCCAATCTCCTTTAGTTTTCCCTGATGTAGAAGCAACCAATTTTGAGCTCAAGCCACAGATGATCCAATGGACTCAATCAGCCTGCCCATTTCATGGATTACCTCATGAAGATCCTAATGATCACATCCGAAGTTTTCTACGTTTATGCAGTACTTTTAAAATTCAAGGCTTATCTAATGATGACATTAGACTGAGACTATTCCCTTTTACATTGCAGGATCACGCCCAAGCATGGTTCAACACATTACCCAACAACTCCATTTCCACTTGGGAAGAGTTAAGGCAGTGTTTCCTAACAAAATTCTTTCCACCTACAAAAGCTGCACAACTGATAGCAATCTCGTAGACGAAGCAAATTTCGTTAATGCAACCATCAACAAGAAGGTACGAAGATAATTTTGTCTATCCCGTGAAACTCAAAAGAGTGCGGAAAATTCACAATAAGATGATCGTTTATCTAAGTGATTCTATCTCTTAACTCAAACCAAGCAAAGAACACATTATCCATGAAAGATTCGAATTAAACAACAACCCACGCTAAGAATAGCAAGGACACCATTCAATATACTCGACCAGTCATTAATCAAGAGACTCAAGAAAGGTAGGAGCAAACAATGCCCAACTATAAAGGAATACTATCGATTAGTAATCTTCATAACCAACCAAAGATATGCAACACATACACTATCTCAAAATGCTTATGGCAAAGCACAACTCATCCAACAAAAGTAGGACAAACCCCACAATGGATCTCATGAACACACTCATCATGAAATTCGAACACCAAGCCAAAGGAAAGGCTCATCAATCGAACTACTAGAAGTAGTATGAAAATAAGAAGTTTAGTTTTAAAACAATTCTATCAAGA